ACTAACAAACCTTGGAGGGCAAGGGTATGGTTTCCATAGTTGCCATATTATATTATTTAAAATATCTAACTCTCTACCAAAATTATGAGACATACAAAGAAACCAGAAAGTATGGCCCATTCATAGGAAAAAGGCAATTAATAAAAACTATCCCTAAAGAAATCCAGATGTTGGACTTACTAGACAAAGAGTTTAACCTAGTTATTTAAAATACTTTGAAAAAACTAAAGGATACCATGTCTAAAGAACTAAAGAAAAACGTGAGGATTGTGTCTCACCAAAAAGATATCAGTAAAGAGGTAGAAAGTATTAAAAAAAAAAAAACCCAGAAACTTTGGAGTTGAAAATATAATAAACAATGGGCAGCCTGGGTGTCTCAGCAGTTTAGCACTGCTTTCAGCTCAGGGCCTGATCCTGGAGACCCAGGATTGAGTCCCACATCGGGCTCCCTGCATGGAGCCTGCTTCTCCCTCTGCCTGTGTCTCTGCCCCTCTCTCTCTGTCTCTCATGAATAAATAAATAAAATTTTAAAAAATAAAAAGAAGGGTATCCCTGGGTGGCGCAGCGGTTTGGCGCCTGCCTTTGGCCCAGGGCCCGATCCTGGAGACCCAGGATCGAATCCCACATCAGGCTCCTGGTGCATGGAGCCTGCTTCTCCCTCTGCCTGTGTCTCTGCCTCTCTCTCTCTCTCTGTGTGACTATCATAAATAAATAAAAATTTAAAAAATTAAAAAAAAATAAAAAGAAAATATAATAAACAAAATGAAAAATTCAGAAGAGCTCAAGAACAGATGTGAGTTAGCCGAAGAAAGATCAGTAAACTTGAAGATAGATCAACTGAGATGATCTAGTCTGAGGAATAACAAAAACAAAAAGAATGAAGAAAATGAACAGAGCCTTAGATATCTACTATATATATCAAACATACTCATATATGCATAATGGGAATCCTAGAGAAGAGAGAGAGCTAGAGAGCGTGAGGGGCAGAAAGAGTATCTGAAGATGGACATTATCTGAGATAATAGCCCCAAACTTCCAAATTTGGTAAAAATATTAATCTATACATCCAATAAGTTCAATAAACTCCAATAAGATAAGCTTAGGATTTATCCTAGACACATCATAATGAAATTATAGAAGATCAAAAAGGGAATATTCAAAGCAGTAAGAGAGAAATGATTTATCACATACAGTTTCCTTAATAAGATTAGCAGCCAATTTCTCATCAAAAGTCAGGGGGGCCAGAAGGCAGTGGGATGATATTCATAGTGCTGAAAGAAAAGGGTTATCAGTCAAGAATTCTATATTTTGGAAAAATAAAGGAGAAATCAATGCCCAGATAAGCAAAATGGAGAGAATTTTTCACTACCAGACTTTCCCCACAAAAATTACTAAAGAGAGTCATTCAGGCTGAAATGAAAAGACACAGTAACTTGAATCCATATGAAAAAATAAAGATCAGCAGTAAAGGTAACTATATAGGTAGATATAAAAATTTAGATAGGCATATTTTTGCGTGTAACTTTCCCCCCTCCTATCTGATTTAAAAGACAACTGAATAAAGCAAATAACTATAAATTTGTGTTGATGGGCTTACAAAGTATAAAAATGTAATATGTTCAACAATATAATGCAAAGGAGGAGAGAGAGAGTTATATAGGAACAAAGTTTTGTACAGTATTTAAATTAGTAAAAATTCTAACTGGATTGCTATAAGATTTTAAATACAATCTCAGGGGGAACCACTGAAGAAAAAAATAAAGTAAAAGACATGACAAGAGTTAAAATGGTACATAGAAAATACCTATTTAACATAAAAGAAGGCAGTAATGGGGTAATAGAGGAACAAAAAAGACATAGAGAAAAATAGGAAAACAGCAGACATATATCCTACCTTATCAGTAATTACATTACATGTAAAAAGATTAAACATGCCAATCAGGGGATCCCTGGGTGGCCTAGCGGTTTAGCGCCTGCCTTTGGCCCAGGGTGCGATCCTGGAGACCTGGGATCGAATCCCACGTTGGGCTCCCGGTGCATGGAGCCTGCTTCTCCCTCTGCCTATGTCTCTGCCTCTCTCTCTCTCTCTCTCTCTCTCACTATCATAAATAAATAAAAATTAAAAAAAACATGCCAATCAAATACCAGAGATTCGTAGGATGGATTAACTGCCACCATCCAATTATATTTTGTCCACAGAAGACGCACTTTATATTAAAAGACACAAATTGCTTGAAAGTAAAAGGATAGAAAGATACACATCAAAAGAGAGCTGGAGTGACTATACTAACATTAGATGAAAAAGACTAGTTAAAATTGTTAGCAGTTACAAAAGTACATTTTATAATGCTAAAAGGGTCAATCCTTCAGGATGGTGTAACAGTTATAAACCTATACGCCCCTAACAACAGAGACTCAAAATACATGAAGCAAAATTGAAGGGAGAAATAGACAACTCAACTATAGTAGTTGGAGATTTCAGCACCCCACTTTTAATAATAGGTAGACTACTAGTAGACAGATCAGTGAGGGATAAAAGACTTGAACAACACTACAAACTGGCTATATCTAACAGATAGTTATAAAATACTCTATCACCAACAGCAGGATACACATTCTTCTTAAGTGCACACAGAATATTCTCCAGAATAAAACATGTTAAGGCATAAAACAAGTCTGAAATAAGTTTATAAGGACTGAAATCATAAAAATTATGTTCTCTGACCATAAGGGAATGAAAGTAGAAATCAATACAGTGGGAAATTTGAAGAATTGATAAATATGTGAAAATTAAATAATGCATTCCAAATAACCAAGGGATCAAAAAGGAAATCACTAAGGAAGTTAGAGCAGAATTGGAATGAAGACAAATTTACTCCTGAGAGCCTTAGAAAATATCCCTGGAGGTCACAGTCCCCATGAAACCCTGTTGGTAGGGGTCAAGGAGCAGGGGCCTTGCTGAAGTGAACTTCAACCCTTACCTCCCCAATTCAAGACCTGAGTCTGACAAGGTTTCCTCTTCTCATTTTGATTGTGAGGTTTTCCAAGTAGGCCTCCAGTGTTGGGTGCAGGCCCCCAATACAGTGCCAGTTGCTCACTCCTGTCAACCAGCCGATTAGAGGCTCATTTCCTCCCTCACTGCTGATGAATCTCACCTGCCCTGATTCATTTTCCAAATGCAAATGGTGCGGCAGCTCCAGCTTCCAGAGGCCCCGCCTGTTGTGTAGGGTGGAGGTGGGACTGGGAAGCCTGTACAGGGGCAAGTGAAGGCCCTGGGCTCTGGGAGGAGAGGCGGCGGGTCTAGGTGTCCATTGTTATCCACTGCTGTAATGCAGAGAGAGTGTCTGAAATCCTAATTGCAAATGTCCCCTCACGCCCAAGGGTTCCTTTGATGATGATGTGGTGGTGGCGATGTATATGTATGTGTTTCACGAGCTTTCTAAGCTCTAGGAATAAAAAGAATTTAAAGACTTTTCTTTATTTAGTTATAAAAAAATACAGTACGTCCCATGCACCAGTGTGGCCTATATACAGTCATTATCACTAGAGTAATTACTACGATGATAGGAAAAAGAAGGTTACAGGAATTTGTTCATCCAACTAAAAAACCTGAATTAAAATTGCTAACCTAAATAGCAGCCCACTTATTATGCAAAAACCCTTATTCTATGTTTGTGAGAGCTAGAATTGTGTCAGTATTATTAGTAAAAAAAAAAAAAAAAAAAAAAGACAAAAACTAGGTATCAGTTAAAAAAAAAGTCAGTGTTATCTACAATCTCCTGAAGTGTGAGGGCCCTTGTCCAGAGGGGAACCTTGGTCCACAACCGAGGGTGAGTGAGCTGGAGAGTTTCCGTCCTTTCCTGCCCTCTCCTGTCAAGCGATGCCATTTCTCCAGGACATGTTCGTAGTGGAATGTCCCACGTTTGGCTGAAAGTGGGAGACGCACGGACGGCCACAGGGTGTGGACAGGCAGGTGCCTTGCCTTCTGCAGGCTGTGCCTGGGGGTGGGGCCCTGGGGCGGGGAGGGGGGTGTTTCCTGAGATGCGGCAACCATGAGGTGTGTAAAGGCAAACAGCACGGTTCCGTTGTGCGGTCAGGTTTGGGTTTGGACTTTGGCCAGACTTGCCGAGGGTCACTACGCGCGGGCCTTCGAGCCAAGAGAGGAGGAATAGATGGAAAAAGAGAAAAGAGGAGCATGAATGAGTGACTGGGCGAGGCACACGGGGGACATGTGTTGCGCTCCCAGGACATCTGCCCGAGTGCGCGGGCAACACCGCAGCGGCTGCCGAGGGGTGTGGGACGGGCGTCACGGCCACCCCGGGCCCTGCCCACAGGTGCAGTGTGGAGGACGGCCTCGCGGCGGCAGGTCCCGCTTGGGCCCCCCTGTGCCTCCAGGACGGCCTCGCGGCGGCAGGTCCCGCTTGGGCCCCCCTGTGCCTCCAGGACGGCCTCGCGGCTGCTTCACAGTTCAACAGGCCGTTTTTCCCGCCTTTGAATTTTGAGGGCGTAACGCGGCAGGAACGGGCGTGGCCGGGCGGCGAGGTCCCCTCGGGCCGTTCGTTCGCTGGTTCGTTCGCTGTCGAGGGGCCGCCCCTGGGGGAGGCTGGGCGTGGCGGAGGGCTTGGGGGAGCGTGGGGAGGCCGGGGCAGGCCGGGCTGACGCTGGGCCGGTCCCCGGGCTGCTCCAGGCGGGCGCCCTCCGCGCGGCCCCCGGGGCTTCGAGGGAGCTCCCCGCCCCCGCCCCCGCCCCCACCGCTGGCAGGAGCGCGACGGCCGAGCGAGCGTGGGGCGGTCCTGGCGAGGGGGACGGGGACGAGGAGGGGGACGGGGAGGGGGACGGGGAGGGGGAAGAGCGTCCGGGCCGGCGCCTCCGGCATCGCGGCGGCGGCGGCGGCGGCGGCGGGCGGGCGGGCGTCACGGAAGTGCCCGCCGGAGCTCTGGGGCTCTGGGGCGCTCGGGGCGCGGCGCCTGCTTCCCGCGGAGCGTCCCGAGCCCGGATCCGCGCGCCGCCGCCCTAGTAGGGCAGCTCCTGCGGGGGCTCCGCGCGGTACAGCTCGGCCAGCATCCTGAAGCGCGGGCCCCAGTCGCTGAGGAAGTCGTAGTCGACGTCCGCGTCGGAGGCCCCGGAGCCCAGCGAGCTGAGCGACTCGGCCACCGACTCGGCGCCCTCGTAGCCGTAGATGTGCAGCGTGTCGTAGGGCGGGCCGCCGCCGTCGCGGTCCGCCTCGTCCTTCTTCGCCTCGATCATGGCGGCCATCTCCCCCGGCCCGGCGTGCACCGCGGGCGCCGGGCGCGGCTTCTGCACCTGCGCGTACAGGGCCGGCCGCGGGGGCGGGGCGCCGCGCCGCGCCGAGTGCAGCACCGACACGTCGTAGCTGGTGGTGTCCATCTCGCCGCCGCCCTCCTCGTCGTAGGTGACCAGCTGCTCGTGGATCTCGGGCACGCTCTTGCCGTGGGCGCGGGCCTGCTTCCGCAGCCGCCGCCGCAGGAAGATGAGCAGGGTGATCACTGCAGCCGGGCACAGCTGCTCAGGCCCGGCCCGCCAGCCCTCGAGGCCCCGCACCCCCACCCCCGAAATGCCCCGGCCGGCGCAGCCCTGCGTGGGCCGACGCCGAGGGCTCAGAGCCCGGCCGCACCCCTGCCCACCTCGGGGTCGGAGCCCGGCTGCACTCCTGCACCCCTCGGGGTCGGAGCCCGGCTGCACTCCTGCACCCCTCGGGGTCGGAGCCCGGCTGCACCCCTGCACCCCTCGGGGTCGGAGCCCGGCTGCACCCCTGCACCCCTCGGGGTCGGAGCCCGGCTGCACTCCTGCACCCCTCGGGGTCAGAGCCCAGCTGCACCCCTGCCCACCTCGGGGTCGGAGCCCGGCTGCACTCCTGCCCACCTCGGGGTCAGAGCCCGGCTGCACCCCTGCACCCCTCGGGGTCACAGCCCGGCTGCACTCCTGCACCCCTCGGGGTCAGAACCCAGCTGCACTCCTGCACCCCTCGGGCTCAGAGCCCGGCTGCACCCCTGCCCACCTCGGGGTCGGAGCCCGGCTGCACCCCTGCCCCCCTCGGGGTCAGAGCCCGGCTGCACCCCTGCACCCCTCGGGGTCACAGCCCGGCTGCACCCCTGCACCCCTCGGGGTCGGAGCCCGGCTGCACTCCTGCACCCCTCGGGGTCAGAACCCAGCTGCACCCCTGCCCCCCTCGGGGTCAGAGCCCGGCTGCACTCCTGCACCCCTCGGGGTCAGAACTCAGCTGCACCCCTGCCCCCCTCGGGGTCAGAGCCCGGCTGCACCCCTGCACCCCTCGGGGTCACAGCCCAGCTGCACCCCTGCCCCCCTCGGGGTCAGAGCCCGGCTGCACTCCTGCACCCCTCGGGGTCAGAACCCAGCTGCACCCCTGCCCCCCTCGGGGTCAGAGCCCGGCTGCACCCCTGCACCCCTCGGGGTCACAGCCCAGCTGCTCCCTGCCCCCCTCGGGGTCACCTGCTGCCCCCCTGCCCCCCTCAGGGTCAGAGCCCGGCTGCACCCCTGCACCCCTCAGAGTCACCTGCTGCACCCGTCAGGGTCAGAGCCCAGCCAGCACCCGCCCCGTCCCTCCAGGGTCAGGCCCACCATCACTTCTCTGCTTTGTTTGGTCTTGGTAAGGTAGTAATGAGGTTGAGGGCCACCCTGCGTGTGGCGGCGAGGTCATGGTCATCGCCAGTATTCATTATTACCAAAAGCAGATCTGAGTCTGGACTCCTCCCGAGAAGCGCCAGGATGGTGGCACGCCCAGGGGGTCTCTGAGGGGAGCCGCTGGCAGGAGAAGCCCTGCGCAGACAATGCGATGCCCCCCGGCAGCCCCAGGGCCCGTCATCTCAGTGCACCGGGCGTCTCTAACCTTCCTCCGCAGAGGGCCGGCCCTGCCCGGTCTCAGGGCTGGTGAAGCAGGAGCGTTTATTCCCCTGGGAGTCCCCAGCCATCAGCTGAGGGGAGCTGCTGGATAAACCCCTGCTGTGTGTGTCTCACTGCTGCCCCAGGTGCCATGGCAGGAAGCCCCAGGGACCCACACTGCTAATGACTTGTCTTGACAACTTTCCCTTCATCCACTGCCTCTCTTCCCTGTTTCACCCCCACTCTTCTTTCTAGGGCTTCCTGGGAGCACTTCTGGATTAAGGCACTTGTACCCCAATCCCTGTCCCAGGATGTGCTTCCTGGGTAATCTACAACTAAAATGCTCCTAGAAAGAAAGAAAGAAAGAAAAAGGAAGGAAGGAAGGAAGGAAGGAAGGAAGGAAGGAAGGAAGGAAGGAAGGAAGGAAGGAAGGGAAAAGAAAAGAAGGAAAGGAAGGAAAGGAAAGGAAGAAAGAAAGAAAAAGAAAAAGAAGAAAGAAAAAGAAAAAGAAAGATCAAAGCTGTAGGAATTCTCATAAAGGATAGAAAGCCACTGGAGGTGAAACAATTTCTTTTTTCCTTCCCAAAGAGGCGTTAAAAAAATAGGTTTCATGTCGATAAATGCCTAGAACAGTAGGTGCTCAAAATGTATGAATTGAATGAATGAGTGTAAAGTATTTTAAAGTAGAGAAAGGCCTTGAATCCTCCCTTTCCCCCGTATCTACCCCCGACCCTTAGGCGTTCAGGGAGGTAGAGCTATCCCTGTGTCCTGGTGTGGAACCGGGGACCCTGAGGCCCAGGGTGGGATATGGGCTGGAGGCAGGGTTGCCCCCCGGGGGCCCTGGTCTCGTCCTCCTTCTGTGAAGCCACCCCCAACCCCCCCAGCGTCCCTCGCCGCCCTCCCGGCCACTGACCTGTGATGGTGAGGATGCAGAGGAAGATGGCCACCAGCGCCTGGATGCTGACACCTGCCTGCGCCGCCATCTCCTCGCAGTAGGTGAACTCGCCGTGCTCGTTGCACTTGCAAATGGTCACGACCAGCGTGCTGGTGCCTGTGAGGCTTGGCCTCCCATTGTCTGAGATGAGCACAGGCAGGTGGTGGACCTTGGCACGCTCCCGGTCGAACTGGCCGTACTTGACGGTGATGTTGGCTGTGTTATCTGGAAACACCAGGGCTGCAGAGTCAGGTTCTGCTCGGCCTGCCGCCTCCATGAAAGCCTCCGCGACTGGGCCAGCCCACGTGCAGCCTGGGCTGCTTCTCTGCCCTTTGCATCCCCTGCCTCATGTTTCGATCATTTGAGTGCGGGTCTGTTCCTCCAGAGGGGGGACACTTGGGGTAGCTGCTTGGACCTGGCCTCTGACAGTGGCATGGCCAACGTGTAAAATCCTTGCTTTCTGTTTCTGTGAGCAACTGATATATCTGACCCCCAACTCTTCCCTAACCCCACTCCAATAACAGGTGGTTCTCTTTGGGCTCAGTGCATTATTTCAAGCTTTGGTGATGGGAAAAAAAAAGGTGTTTAAAAGTCTTTTAGCACTGGGCTAACTTCAAAGGCTGTTTCTCCTATTCCTGAAAATCCATTAGAAAGTGAAAACAATGCACCTGTTCCCTGGGGCACCGAGGGTGTGATGACATAGGTAACTGAGGGTTTCCTGGGCAGACTGCAACTGGGAATGTGCTTTGACCCAAATATTGGATCCCCCTCCCAGCTCCAATCAACGGTTCCATAGACCGAAGGCTCCCCCAGAGAGCTTTTTAAACGTGCTGATTTTCAGAACCCTGCTCTTCCTTCTCCATATCCCTGCCCTCTGCCCCCATCTCCCCCTCCCACATTTCAGATTTGGTGGCTCTGGGCAGAGGCCAGATAGTTTGCCTTTTGTGGGCTCCTGGGAAGTTTACAATGCCGGTGGTCAGAGGGCTTAGGGATTCACTGCTCCAGGATTTATTTAGTCCCACGGGATCAGCTCACTCAGGAAGCTGGCCAAAAGCAAAGAAGGCCATCTTTTACATTTCAGATGAAAGCTAATTACATTTTATTAAGTAACCATGTCTATTATAGTTGAGAATAATAGCTATATGGCCACTGATCCTTTATGAGAGAAATTAGAGTTTTCTCACTATACTCACTATCCTAACAGGACATTCATGCTGTAAGTGAATCTGGCACCAACAGGCTTGCCTCCTGGTTGTACATGGGGTGCCTTTGGGGTGGCACTTAAACTTTCTATCCCAATGCAGACTGCCTCTGAGGTGGGATGGAGGTGAACGTGGGGGGGGGGGTGACGTGATGGATATTTTTACCACATTATTTACTAATGCTCGGACAGCTGAGCATTTGAATGGTCTGTCACTGACTGCCAGCACATCATGGCCAGCTTTCCAGTCCCACAGGAGGCTCCTTAAAGATGGGTATGTGGCTGATCCCCTGGGTCCGCCTCACACTCAGGGCCCCTGACCTTCCTCACAGGTGGCAGTGGCTATTCTGAACAGGGATCCTCATCCACCACAGTTTTGCCGATCAGAGATAGTCAGGAATTTCACCCCGCACTGGGTGAAGGATTGCTCTGTTCAGACCCAAGAGGGATTTTCTCTGTTTTTCTCAGGAGCCTGTTGAAGCTGTGGAAGCCTGTCTGCTTTTGGCTAGAGTTCAATCAACTCAGCATCATCACCACTCTCGTAAGCACATGCTCATCAGAAGCTCTCATCGGCCAATACTACTGACATCACAGACTCTGGGCTGTGAGGAGTGCACCAGATGCTGTCCTGGGGCCACCTGGTGGTAAGTAGTCCTCATAGCTGAATTAAGACAAAGTTCACTGTATTCTTGGCATTTTGGATTTCACATTTCCAATTTAGACTCTTTGGTAGTGACCTCAAAATTCATAGAGGATTTGCACTTGTGCTGAGTATTAGAGATCCAGCGTGGGAAGGAATCCCTTGGCTCATTAGTGAATTGAGCAACTGTCTGCACCCTGTACCTATTCTATATTCCTTGCTGACCTGAGCATCTTCTGGGGAGTATGGACTTGGCAATTTGGCCAGGGTAGCTCTGACCATGGCACAGACTGGGAAGGAGTTGTACAAAATATCCCGTAAGTTGAAGACCCCAGTCAGGATAGGCCCTCAGTTTGTTGGCTTGGTCTTTGACGCTGGGGCTTCAAGACTCAAATAACCCCGCCCCGCCCCAGGCTGACGACTATGATGCATACCGTGATTATCTGTGAGGGTGAAGTTGCTGTCCTCAGTGCCCAGGGAGAATCTGAACTTCACATCTCGTGGTGTTACGTCCTTGTCTATTGCCGAGATTTGCACGACCAGCTGGTGTATGGAAAATGGAGAATCAGGGATGGCATTGGGGTGGCTGGGGGTTTCGTGGTGGTGACTCTGGGTTCAGACCTGACCACGGTTGCATCTCACCTGCAACACTAACCTAAATGATCTCCGTGAAGCTGCTCTTTGGACTACCCTCCTCACTGGTCTACTCTCCATACGTTCCCTCTGAGCCTCAGTTTCTCTATCGGTAAAGTGAGGATAATAGCACCTTTCCTGATGGCTGTTGGGCAGTTATGTTAAGCTCAGTGAAATGCCAGCTGACTGTGGGTGGGAGGTGCTGCCTCTAAGCCTGTCCTCAGGGGGCATGCTCCACCCTCCCACCTGAGCCAGACTCACCTTGCCCTGGGCAGCGTTCTCACACACTCTGGGTTCATAGGGCTGGGCGAACTCTGGAGGGTTGTCGTTCTCGTCCATAATTTCGATGTAGACTTGCACGATGGATTCTTTGCCTGTGGGGTACCCTGCGGGAGGGGGGGAGGGCTTGTGATTCCAGCCCCAAGGGTAAAAGGTATGTGGATGGGGAATCCTAGAGGGGTACCCTTTTTGCAGGACGGGGGTGGTGGTGGTGGTGGCTAGGGATCTCTGGAAGAGAGACCAGAGATGGCATTCTGGATGAAAAGGGTGGAAGAGGAAGGGTGGGGGGCATCAAGCTTCATGCACAGGGATGTTTACTCAACAGTTGCTGTGGGAATCAAAAAGTGAAACGATGGGATCCCTGGGTGGCGCAGCGGTTTGGCGCCTGCCTTTGGCCCAGGGCGCGATCCTGGAGACCCGGGATCGAATCCCGCATCGGGCTCCCGGTGCATGGAGCCTGCTTCTCCCTCTGCCTGTGTCTCTGCCTCTCTCTCTCTCTCTGTGACTATCATAAATAAATAAAAAAAATTAAAAAAAAAGTGAAACGATGTGAGCAAATTAAAGAAGGTTTTAATTAAATTATCAAATTGATCCAATAGTTTAAGTAATTTAAATGTAATCCGTTTAAATAAAATTAATTAATTACAAATTAACTAAAAGGTAAACAAACTAAGTGAGATGGGGTTAATAAATTAAACCACTTTAAAAGAATGGAATGTGTGGCTGTTTACAATGCATATGTAAAGTACATTTAAAAGATGTAATTAAAAATATTTTAAAAAATTTATTTATTCATGAGAGACACAGAGAGAGCCAGAGACACAGGCAGAGGGAGAAGCAGCGCCTCCCACGCCCCGGGGAGCCTGATGCAGGACTCAATCCCAGGACCCCAGGATCATGACCTGAGCTGAAGGCAGATGCTCAATCACTGAGCCACCCAGGCACCCCCAAAAAGGTTTTTGTACCATGAGACACAGGTTCTGGAATAAGGTTAAGTATAAATGCAGGATATGATTTTTATATAAATATTATGATCTCACTTATATAAAAATATATATTAAAAAAAGAGACCAGAGAAAGTATACTAAAGTGCTAACAGTAATTATCTCTGTGTGGTGGGATTATGGGGGGATGATTTTCATCTCTTTTTCTGTATTTTCTCTCATATTTAAAAATGCACAACTATTTTAAGTTTCAAAAAATTGTGTGAATGAGGTTAGATGGGGAAGAAAGGGGCAAAGACTGATCTGCAAAACATGTGGAAGCCGATTGAAAATGGGGCAATGACTAAGTCTGGGAGATGCAGCAAGAAGAAGGGGCCCTCTAGGGTAGCACCATTCCAGCCTTAGTCAAGTCACCTGCCCCTCTGGGCCCTGGTGCTCTCCAAGGTAAGGCGGGAATATTAATCCATCTCTGGGAGGGCAACTGCGATTTTTCTCATGTTAAGTTTTGTTTTTTTTTTTTAATTTTTTTTATTTATTTATGATAATCACAGGGAGAGAGACAGAGAGAGAGAGAGAGAGAGAGAGGCAGAGACATAGGCAGAGGGAGAAGCAGGCTCCATGCACCGGGAGCCCGACATGGGATTCGATCCCGGGTCTCCAGGATCGTGCCCTGGGCCAAAGGCAGGCGCTAAACCGCTGCGCCACCCAGGGATCCCTCATGTTAAGTTTTGTAAGGGTACAGAAATTCCAATACTTGACTTTCCCTCCGGCAAAAGTTAGACTAGGTTGGAGAACCTAATCATTTTGAAGTTGAAAGCTGCTTCAGCTTGATTGGCATACAAATCCTCTCCCTCCCTTCCCCACAAACAGTCTTTTCTAAACATCCATGATCATAAGAATCGTGTGGTACTTTTTTGATGTACATTTCTTGGCCCCCTTTCTGAATCACTGGACCAGAACCTCCAGGGAAGCTCTATGTTTAAAAGGTGCCTTAGATGATTCTCACCACAGGGACATCTAGCAGGCTGTATTATGACAGTGGTTCTTAAAGTATAATGTGCATGAGGTTCTGATTTGGTCTGGGGGTAGCCCAAGAGTCTACCCTCCCAACAAGGTCTCAAGTGATATGGATGCTGCTGGTCCATCCACACCCTTGAGGATGGAGGCTCTATAGTATTCTAGCCAAGTGGTGTACTTCAGCAGGAGTTTAAATACCTCTAAGATAGAGATGACAGATTATGCCTATTTTGAACGAATGAGGGAAAGGAGAAAAGCCCAGGTCCCCTGGCATGTGGGGCCACTCACCACTAGAATCCAGTTCTTTAGCCTCCACTGTCAGGTTATACCAAGGGTAGATTTCTCTGTCCAGTTCTTTCTCATTGTAGATGTTCCCTTGCTTGGTTATTCGGAAGAACTGACCCTTGTCACTGGTCTTGCGGATGGAATATCTGCCAGGGGAGAGAAATTCATGGCCTCCCATTATTCTTTCCTGAGTGCAGACTCCTCAGTGTGACTAATGAGGCCCTTCAGAATCTATGGCTTGCAGCCCCTCCGTCCTCCTCTCTCTGCTATCATGTTCTACCACCTGGAGGGATTCAGAGTGGTGGGACAATCCCTTCAATGTTAGCAATGCTGCCCTGGCTGGGCTGAAGACGGTACCTTGAGACTCCCTCAGGAACACTTTGAGAGCTAAGGCAGGTGGCACTATAATCTAGTACAACAGAGCTGGGGTTGGTTTTTGTGATTAATGAAGAGATATATGGGGAACAGCCAGGAAGAAATAAAAAAGTAGCTGGAATAGATAGGAAATGATTGAAAAGAAATTTACGAAGTAAAAATTTGAAATGTTCCAGAAATCAAGAAAAAGGTATGAAGAAATGAGAGATGAATATATATGAAATATATGATATGTAATATATAATATATATATTTATTACTATTGAAGAAAATTCCAGAACCAATAGAAGAGAAGAAATAACAAAAGATATACTAAAGGAAAACTTTCCTGATCTTAAGAAAGCCTCTAGTCTACAGATTAAAAGAGGTCATTAATATCAGGCATAATTTTCAAAAGAGATAAATGTTTACATATATCCTCATGACACTTGAATTTCAAGGCTATGTGAAGCAACTGAACAGAATCCAGACAGAAAAATATGTTCTTGTGAAGAAAATCAGACTCACCCCAAATGTCCCCACAAAATTAAATGCTAGAAATTTTTGAAAGTAGGTGTCTATAGTCTGAGGATACTCTGAGGATTATGGGAGCACATGTGGTGTTACTAGCATAAGAAGGCAGAGGAACTAAGGTGTTTGTATATTTTGTATATTTATATTTGTATAAATATATTTTATATTTGTGTTTGTATATTTATACAAGAACTCAGGAAATATATCACCCATAGAGATGGGTCCCAAAAATATTTTATGAAAACTTAACTTCATATGACTCAGAAATGTCACAATATAAAGAAAAAGCCTGCTTTGACAGGAATCAAAATGAAACATTTGATTTCTTTATCATGCATAGGAAAGCAATCATGTGTGTGTGTGTGTGTGTGTGTGTGTGTGTGATATTTTAAAGTAGAAAATGTCCAGGAAAACATTTTAAATTTTATAGATAGAAGAGAGTTTCACCGGTAGAAGTAAAAATGGATGTATTCCATCCAAATATCCAGGAGAAAAGAAAAGAAAAGACTCTATAGCAAATATGATGGAAAAAAAAACCCATTAAGTTTGAGAAATGAGAAATGTACAAGATAAAAAAGTAAGCTCAAACATATCACTTATGATGACAAATGTAAATAGGTTAAACCCAAAGCATCTCAGTGTAGATTAAAAAGCAAAACCAATTACACTCTATTTTCGAGATATGACTTAATGCCAAGTAAAAAGCAGAAGTTCGAAAAGTTGAAAGTACAAGTTGGAAAACTCCTATCCGGCAAAGACAAATAATATGAAAAGAGGACCAGCAAACTTAACACTAGGCAATGTGAGGGCAAAGTATTTAGCAGAACAAATTGGGTAATTTCATAGGGATAAAAGTAATGAGTCATAATGAAAGTAAAATAGTTATGAACCTTTGTAAATAGAGATATTAAAATACATAAAGCAAAATCTTAGGTATTCTAGAAAAAATGAACACAAATACAGTTGTGTTATATCACAGAACAAGTTAAAGCAAAAACAAAAAATACCTAACTGGTGGTAAATGAAAAGAAAAAAAATTAAATCAATGTCTTGAAGTAAATTCTTGGATCAATAAAGAAATAAAAAAATGGTCATTACAGACTATTTAGAATAGAATGGCCACAAAAACTGTAGTAGTCCCAAAACTTGTGTGATGTGGCCCAAATTTCCATTTTTGGGGGCATGTTTTTTTGACCTTAATCAGAAGACCTGTTATCATAGTAATATTAATTCTCTCCAAATTGATATGATTTTCATTAGAATTCTAATGACTTCTATACAATCTCATTTTGGATAGAAGTGGGTGATGAAGTGGACATGGTGTGATCCGAAAAATTGTGAAATTAAAAAAAACAGATAAAAGAATTTTATAGTTTGTATGAGAGAGTGAATATTAAAAACACATAAAAGCTACAGAAAGTAAAAAAGTAAGGTAGGAACTTGGCTTATATCTACTAAGTTTTAATATAAAGCTGCTGCAATAAAACTGAATGGCTTTGCCACAGAATAGTAGACAGAAAAGGATTCAGAATTAGATTCTGGTTATTTGTATTATATTATATTATATTATATTATATTATATTATATTATATTATATTAATTATAATTACTTGAATTTATTTTATTATCTATCTATAAAACAAAGGTGGGAAAATGTTGACGTATTTAATAAGTGGTGCTAACACAATCAGCTACCCCTCTGGAATAAAATGAGATTGGATTGAAGTCAAATATTTTATGGCTCTAGAATGCATGAGTTAGAACTATAGTTTTGGTCCCAGAGGCTCAGAGTCTAGTGGAGATAGTCTAGCTGGTGATGAAGTGGGCATGGTGTGATCCAAAAAATTGTGAAAGTAATCAAAACCCCCAAACAGAGAGACAGGCAGACAACAAACCCACCATAAATGTACATAGATGTTTCTATGGTCACGAAACAACCACCTCAAACCGTGAACATCAGTTACCCGAGAGTAGGGGTTACTGATGTTTTCTTTGTAGACCTTTGTGTCATTTCACTGTGTGAACTGACTACTTTTTTCCTTTTGTGATCTTGGGAAGGCAAATTTAATAAAACATGTTTTGTAAAATGGTTTCACGTCTGTCCTCTAGTTGGTTACCCTCTTGACCATCAGATCTCTCGAGATGGACCTGTGGGAGCCAGGTCCAAAGAATAGCCGCTCCAAGGTAGAGCAGCCCGTGGCCGGCTCTGATGGCCAGGACTGTGCGGGCTAGGGGTGCCTGGGAAAGACAGGATCCCACGTGGCTGCTCGGGTCGGTAGAATTGCTCAGGCTTCTAGTCCTGCCTCAGCCATGTCCCGTGTATGTGCCAGGAGAAGCCACTTTCCCCAGTTGAGTCCTGGAGTCAGGACGTTAAGAACCTCAGTGCTAGGATCCTCATGATCAGCACCACCCTTCCACCCTCCACCCCTTACCCAATGCTCCGCCGAGCTGCATCGGGGTCTGTGGCCGTCACCGAGCCAATCAGAGGTTTTTTCTGGTTCTCCCGCAGCTGGAAGTGGTAGAAGGGCTGGTGGAAGTTGGGGGGCTCGTCCACATCTGTGACGTTGATGATGACGCGGGCTGTTTTTTGGATGGAGACACTGCTCAGGTAGTGGAGGTTGATGGTGGGGTCTGTGGCCTCGATGGTGAAGACGTACTGCTTAATGTATTCATAGTCCAGGGGCTGTGGAAGGGGAAAGCACGGGAGCACCTGCTCTGAGCCACGCATGTGAGGTGTGATCTTCACAGCTACCCTACACGTTTGCCCTGGATGACACCCATTTTATGGATGGGGGCCTGTGGCCCGAAGAAGTGATGTTTCCAGGCTCATCAGGAGAGGGGCTGGGGCGGGCTGGCTGTCTTTGGCTGCTCCCCTACTGCGTCTCAGCAGCCTCATGGCGACGCCTCTGACCCTAACTCTGTGACTGGCCCTGTTCCAAGTATTGAGGACACACAGTGAGTCTTCCCCACTCGCCACGAGCTTCGATGCTGTGGAGGCCACGTGACTCCCCTGGCTGTTTCCAGTCCCCAGTGCAGGGCTGGATCAGGGACAGCAGCAGGAAAGTTCTGCTGGAGGATTGACCTGGCTCAGGTACAGGGGTTCTAGAATGTCCCATTTGAGATGGGTCATCCTGGCCTAGGTACCCCAGTCCTTAGCATGGCCATTCTAGAGGTATTTGGTGTCCCTTCCTTCCTTTTCCAGATTCAGTTGGTCTGATTGCTCTGTCTGTCCACAGTAGGCACTGCCAGTGGCCACCCACATCCCCCAGCATGCACTGTTCCCTCCCTAGCTATGGCTCTGTGCTGCAGGTGCCTATAACACTACCAGGGCTCTGGTTTGGCAGGTGCCCAGGGCGGGCCAGAAAGTACAAGAGTGAACGCCTCCTGGAGCCCTCAATCAACCCCACAGCTCACTCTCCCCCAGCACCTGCAACCCTGAGGACTATCCCACCCCATTCTCCAGATGTCCCCAGTGGACTGTGCCCACTTGCCTGAAGCGATAATCTGATGTTAAGGTTTCATGTGGTACTGCTCCTGGGGCATCTGGGATCACTTCCTAAGTAAATTATTGACACCCAGCTCCTTGCCTTAAGTTTGCTTCTGGGGTAACCAGTCTCAGGCACTGATCCTTCTCTCCTGGCTCCCCTTCCCAACTCCATGGTCACAAGCTCCTAAAGCACATGGCCAGCTCTGAGCTGACCCACAACGTGTACCTTTGATGGCCTCTGACCTTGGAGCAGCCCCTGGGTGAGTCCTGGTGATGTGGGGAGCCCCAAACTTTACATCTGATGTCATTGCTGCTTGTCTACAAACCTTCATGGGCTTGATGATGCCCTCATTGTGGTTGGGGTCCGTCTCGATGGTGAAGGTGTCCCTGTATTCACCCTGCACGATGCTGTACTTGGTCATCCGATTCTGGGGCTCATCTGAATCCTCAACGAACAGAGAGCCCAAGGAGCTGCCCACACGGATGTCTTCAGGCACGGCAAATATGTACTTGGCTGATGTAGATAGGGTGGCCCCGAGGGCATTGGGTTAATGAGACAGACAAGGGGGTTATCCCTTATACTATCCCAATACATTTTTATACAGGAAAGGGGCACAATAAAATAATAATAATGATAATAGTAATACTACCATTGGAATTCGGGGTCCCAAGGCAAAGAGGTTCTGCTCTATCTATCCATCCATCCATCCATCCATCCATCCATCTAACAGATAGTAATTGAGCACCTACTGTATGCTAGGTACTTTGCTAGGGGACCTGTCATTTGACAAGAGAGACAAGTCCTACCCTTAGGGAGCTTCTGTCCTGTACAGTGAGGCCACTTCAGGCTATCCTTGGGATGGCCGAGCCTCTGTTACACCTCAGCATTGGAGGGTATAAGTGATGAACCATCTGACTTTCCTTCCCAGCCCTAACCGAGGCAGGGGAAAATCTCTTATCAGACATTTTTTGAGGGGAGACATCAGTGTGGGTGGGCTCCGGGCCCAGACTTGGCTTTGGATATGGAAATTTGCCATACTCCTGCCCACCAGCTTATGGGGGTTTTCTAGCTAGGGCCTGGATTTTTCCTAGCCCATAGAAACTGGGTGAAACTGTTCCTGATAGTGGAACAGCAGGGAGTGTGATTTCCCTGTGGCCCGTGAGGTCACTGTGGCAGGTGGCATTTGGACAGCCTTAGGAATGTGTGCAGGGATGGGGAGGAGCCTCTTTCTGCACCAAAATGACTTTACTGGGCCTGAGGCCCACCCTGGGGTCAAGGGAGAGAGAGAGGGCCCTGGGCTTCTTCACAGGATTCCCCAGGTCACTGAGTTTGGATTATCACCACCCCCACACCCCTGCCACCCAAGGCCCTGGGGTAGAGCTCACTCTGGGTGAAGGTGGGGAAATTGTCATTGATGTCCTTCAGGTTGACCAGTACTGTGGCTGTGCCTGACTCCCCACGGAGGCCCTGGGCATCTCGTGCTTCCACCACGATCTCATACTTGGCTTGCGTCTCTCGGTCCAAGTTTTTGGTTGTCGTGAAAATGAGGCCTGCAAAAAGTGTCCAGGCAGGAGCCACGTTACTTGGAGGGCTTTAAGAAAACACTGGTGCCCAAGCCTTATCCAGAGAGCACCTCCTGACTTAAAAGCTCCCCAGTTGATTACACTATGCAGCCAAGGTTGAGAACCGCTGGCCAACTACCTCCTGCCTTCACACTCTGCTCTGCTAGACTGAAGCTGCACAAACGGTGTGGTCGGATATTGGTCCCAGCTGCCTGGAGCATGGTGTTGAGAAAGAGTGTGAGGCCACGGCTAGGCTTAGCGTGGAAAGAGTGCTATGATGGAGTAGTGATACCTGCCTTGGCACGTCATCGGTTGTGGTGGTATCTGAGCTGTGTACTTGCCATCCTTCCGAAAGACAGTGTGCCCCAGGCCTGACCGCCTGGACTTTTGTCTTGCTTCCCAAACTCAGTCCTTACAGTTTTTAAAGTTACACTGAGTGGATATGTGCTATGGGCCACATATTCTCTATACGTTATTCAATTCAAACTGCACAGCTGCCATGCAAAATAAATATACATTTTCAAATCTTCAGGATGAGGGAACTAAGGCTCCCAGGGGTTAGTTGCCTCGCCTAAGGTCTTTAGAGGGAGCGTGTAGCAGAACTGCTTTTGGAAGCCCGATCTGTGTGACTCTACACCCACAGCTGCTGACCAGCATTCTCTTCTGCTTCTTGTGTCACTGCTCAGGTCTTGATTTTGTTTCCTGGGCTGGAGTCCTTATTTCAGCAGCTGTCTGCTTCCTTCTGCCCTCACCAGTCACCCTGTCTTAACGTGCATCAAGGAACCGTTTCCACAGGATGGTGTGGTTGGGTGGTAGGTGACACCTGTCAGACTGACTTGCCTCAGCTTCTGCAGTCTAGAGTATCCCCCTCTACCCTGCTCCAAGCCAGCGCCTGCCCCAGAGGGTTAGTAACACAGACCGGAATTATCAATAGCAAAATATTCTTCTCCCTTCAGGAGCTGGTACATGACAGAGGCGTGGTCTGCCACAGTGGGATCATCTGCATCAACTGCTGTCACGCGGAGGACTGAGGTCCCTGTGGAAAGAGAATCCAGGGGTTACTGCCTTGTGACTGCTGGCCCCTTTCCCCATTCCCGGATCAGGATAGATAGGGCCCAGGCTGTTCCCTTAACCCATTTTCCTTAGGTCCTGGAGGAAAAAAGACTGCTTTGTTTTCTGAGAAGCCTGCATGGGGGCAGAGTGCTGGCAGTGCTGGAGGGTCAACTGGTCATCTTTGAAGGAGGCAAAGAGAATAGGTGGTTTTTAGTAGTGGGAAAAATGAGGGAGGGCGTGGAGGGGTAGGGTCATGAGGAGAGATAGAGGAGATTGAAGGGCTGCCCTTCCTTCTCCTGGAGGGTGGAGAACAAAAGAACAGGAAGGTGAGTATCACATCTCTGTTTCTCTTGAACTCCAGGATCCCCATACTCTACAAGAAGATCTGTTACGATCTCCCAGGTTCTTGGCTGGAAACTTGGACCAAGGGGTGGGGAAGGGAATCCTTTTCTGGTATCTACTAGAGGCTGGAGTGGAATTGAGAAGTAGTAACTTTGAGAGGCCTGGGATCCAGGCTGGTGCTGCATATTGGGGTAAGGGCTGTAGTTCTGCTCCCTCCACTCCTGTATGGATCCTAGAGATGACTTCTCACTGTGGTAGCAGAGTTGGTATTCTTTCCGTGCAAAGGCCGCGCTCTTGGAATGCCAGTCCTGAGTCAGAGCAGTGGGTGGGGTTTGCTGTAGAGTAGTGAAACAGGTGTGTGTCTCTGATGGTCAAGCCTCAGTCTGTGATCAGGATCAGGGCTCAGTCCATGATCAGGATCAGGGCTCAGTCCATGATCAGGATCAGGGTTCAGTCTAGGGCTAGGTCAGAGTTTAGTCTTAAGGGACTGTTGTTTCTTTCAAGCCATATAAAATAGCAGCTGCACTGAACTCACTAAATTCTGACCCCAGGCAGTGAAGTTGCTGATGGGAGAGGTGCCTTCAGGCTGGGGATGGGCAGCGGGGGTGGGGTGGGGTGAGGTACAAACGGGGCACGTACCCACAGCTGACATCTCTGGCACAGATGCATTGAACAGCCGGTGCGTGAACACAGGCCAGTTGTCATTCACGTCATGAACTTTGATGGTGAAGCTGGAAGGAGACTCTAGGTTCTTCTTGGTGTCCTTGTCTACCACTAGGGCTGTGAGGTGGTACTCAGAGATCTTCTCCCTGTCCAGCCTCTCAAAGGCATACACGTCCCCTGTGTCCTCACTGACCTGGAACACCTTGCCCACAGATTCTCCTTTGAGCACGTACTTTGCGTTCTTGCTGTTCACACTCGATTTGATCTAGGAAGGAAGAGGAACCGTGAGCTGAGGATGGGCAGGGGTGGCTGTGTGTGTGTGTGTGTGTGTGTGTGCACACCCATCTGTGAGCGTTCAGGTGTATGTAGGTATGCCGGCATGTATGCACCCGTGTGTCCGGCACACCTGCATGTTTGCACGGGGGTGTGCGTACGCGTCTGTGGTGCTGGCCAGGGATCCTGAATGCGGCACCTTCATCTCTGACTGGTCATTAGCGCACTGTTCCCAGCCAGCTCGCTGGGAACACATTAACATGACTGCCCTAGTTGCCTAGAACAGCGCTGGGAACACTGCAAGTGCTTACAGAAAGATTTTTGAGTGAAAGAGTATATTTGGCGCCAGTGGAAGGCAAGGGGTATTTTGCTGCTTACTAGTCACTTAGCCTCTGAGTTGTGGTAGCCTCATCTGTAAAGTGGAGATAATATCATCTTTGATGTTGAGCTGCTCTCATGAGCAGAACGGTACCTCTGAAAGTGAATTCCAGGAAACACTGGTGTCTTTTTGCTATTTCACACGAAAATTCCAGTGAGCTGGGGATGGCTTGCACTGGCTTGGCTCTCAAGAGCCAACTTACATTTTAAGGAATGTTTGTGAACTGATTTTAAATATAGCCATTATTAAAAATTCAGTTATATGAACTTATCAGGTAAATGAATCCTATGAAAAACAAGGGTAGCCTACTCAAAATTCCTCATTTTACTATGTTCTTGAGGTTATGCCCATGTGTTGAATGATGGAAATACCACACAATGCTGTGTTAAGACATATCTTTTCACAACTCTGCCTTCAGTGCCATCAAGTTGGAAGTTTCAAACAGACATGGTGAGAGTATTTACATACAAATGGAAATGAGCGAATGCTAGGAATCAGGATTTTTTTTTTCTCCTGGAGAACCACTTGTCAAGCATTTATCAGCACACCGCTGGTCCTGGTCAATTTAGTTTTGGAATGGTACACAAAATATTCTCTTCTTGGAGCTTTATGATGCACAGTCCTGTAGGAAAAAACTCTAATGAGCTTTAGCTCAGGACTTCCCATTATAGTAAGAACACTTTTTCTTTGTAACACATACTATTAGTGCTGTAAGGAACAAGATTTAGGAAAAGATTTGGAAGCTAATGTACGTAAAGCAACTTGCATGGGCTCTCAATAAATACCTGTTATTATTCATGATAGATCCATATGTTAAAAGATATAGGTAAGAAGTGCTGAACATTTCATTTATAGAATCTTAGAAATAGCCTTCAGAACATAAGAGAATCATATTTCATGCATGTAAAGCAGTATTCTCATAGATGTTTTTTTTTTTTAGATTTTATTTATTTATTCATGAGAGACACACACAGAGAGAGGCAGAGACACAGGCAGAGGGAGAAGCAGGCTCCTTGCAGGGAGCCTGATGTGGAACTTGATTCCAGAACCTGGGATCATGCCTTGAGCCAAAGGCGGACGCTCAGCCACTGAGCCACTGAGACACCCAGGTGCCCTGATGGTTTGAATGTTCAAAAAATACAGTTCTTGGGTGACTCAGCGGTTTGGCTCCTGCCTTTGGCTCAGGGCGTGATCCTGGAGACCCAGAATCGAGTCCCACATTGGGCTCCCTTCGTGGAGCCTGCTTCTCCCTCTGCCTGTGTCTCTGCCTCTCTCTCTCTCTGTGTCTCTTATGAGTGAATAAATACAATCTTAAAAAAAAATACAGTGCAATTCAATTAAAAATACGTAAATTGAATTCCAATAAGGTGCCAAGCAACACGCTGGAAACATAGAATTAACCCAGACCCTATTCTTGCTCTCAGGGTTGAGACTCTGAGGAAGGGCAGGATTTAAAGGTCCAGGGAGCAAGAGCCTTGAGTGAAGGTGTCTGACAAGAACAAAGGAAGATGGGTCTCAAGACAGGAGAGGGAGTGTCAGAAAGGGTGTGGTTAAATCCTGTGAGTTTGGAAAACATCCCTAAGGCTGAGTAGCAGTGCAGACCTTGGAGCCCTCGGTGGGAGCAGCATCAGAGTGGGGGGTGGTGGGGTGGAAGCCAGATCCAGAGCTTGGAGAAGTGGCTGCAAGGTGAGGAAGTGGAAACAGGAAATGAGGACCCTCTGCCTTGAGTGGAGCAGGGCTGTGACGTACAGGGACCAGGGGGGTTCATGAGGAGGTCCCAAGGGACCTGGATGTATGGCGAACAGTGGGTCAGGAGGCAGGAAGCAGATGCCCCAGCTCTGTAACCTGTGGCTTGGGGGAACAGTAGGGGTTCAAGGAGAAGGGACAGTCTGGGACTCGGTGAGTTGCTCAGGGTTAGATGGTAGTTCCAGACTTGGTTCTGGGGGTGGGGTGCGTTAGGGCCCACGTGGGCAGGGGTAGTGATGGGGATCGGTTGCACTTTGATCTATTTTATTGGAATTCTACATAAGATTCCACGTGAGTATAAGCTCCTTCCCTCCACCTTTTAATTTTTTAGAACAGTTTTAGATTTATAGAAAAATTGGGAAGATAATACAGAGAGTTCTCAGGCATCCTGCTCCCAGTTTCCCTGATGATCAACATTTTATGTTGACGTTATGTTAGTACGATGCCTTTGTTCTCAGTAGTGGACCCATACTGTGACATTTGTGGTAACTGGGGGCCATAGTTCATACAGATTCCCTCAGTTTTTGCTTCATGGCCTTTTTTTTGTTCCAGGAGCCCATTCAGGATATCCCATTACATCTAATCATTTGCGTTTCTTTGGGCTCCTCTTGGCTGTGACAGTTTCTCAGACTTTGAGTGCTTTTGATGACCTTGACAATTTTGAGGAATACTGGTCAGATATTTTGTAAGATGGTTCTCTACTGGAATTTATCTGATATTTTTCTCCTAATCAGGCTGAAGCTACAGGTTTCTGGGAGGCCTCTCTCTCTCTCTCCCTCTCTCTCTCTTTTTTTTAATTATCACTATATTTGGACATAACATCTTAATGCTGAAAGCCATGCTGACCCATATTTGTGGATTCAGAAGTCTGCTTAGGGTCACTCCCATTGTCCAACCAGTCTGTAAACAAAAGCTCCGGCCTGTGGGCCTTGATAAACAGAGATTTCCTTCCCTCAGATTACATCTTTGGGAGCCTGGAGGTGATTCTTGGGGCCTCATCCTTGCCTCTTCCAGGGACCCTGTTCCTTCCCAGGGTGGGGACTGCATATGGCTTCTCTGTCTCCTGGCCGCATGCCACGTGCCAAGCGCACGCTGTTGGCAGATGATGGCAGGCCTGACGCAATTCCTGCTGCTCGAAGACCCTTGGAGGAGGAGAGCCCTCTAAAGGTTTCTGTGTCAGAGCTGCTCACAATGCAGGTGGCCTCCACGGACTCTTCCTGATTCTGCGGACTCTTCTGATTCATCCTGCAGGTTTTCCTCGGGCCTGGCCATTCTCAGTGGCTGATTCACGGCACAGTTATCCCATTGGGAAAGATGTAGGTGGGTTGACGACATTTTCCTCTGTGACGCAGAGGTCACGTTTGTGTTGCAAGCCAGGAACCCTGTGTTTCCTTAGGGCCAGGCTCTCCTCAGGCCCTGGCCGGGTCTCCATGTGTGACCCCGGTCAAGCAGCTTTCTCTCCGAGTGGCCATACTGAGGCATTTCGATTTCCCAGCCGTTCTAGGGAGCCAGAGGAGCCCGTGGGCACGGTCGCTGGCTGTAGGCGGCTGGGGGGAGAGTCCCCAGCTGGCGGCACCCTCAGCTGCCCTGGCGTCACCTGCCCTTCACTGTCACTACCACTGCTTTTCCTTCATCGTCATCGCCACTATTGCCACCACTACCAGCACCTCTACCACCGTTACCTTCACAGCCATGGGCCCCACACCTACAGTCGGCACAGTCAGTCTGTGTCACCATCTGTCCCACCATCAGCATCACTATGGGCCGAGTGCTGCTGACGCTGCTCCTGCCCTGAGGCCTGAGCCTTACCTTGCCCACATAATGGGGTAGCGAGGTGTTTTTCTCTTCATCGATGTGCATCTGGTTCCAAATCCAGTCTCTCTTCTGGCGCCGGTGGGTGAGCAGCACGCCGGGGGGGTCCAGTGGGGCAGCGTTGGAACTGGCTGCAGCTTCCACCAGGCAGGTGCCTGCCACGGCGAGCAGCAGCACGAGCGCCCGCATCTTCCTGAGAGGCACCAATCTGGGGAGAGAGAGGAGATCCCACCAGGGCATGGCGGTCACTACCCCGGGGGTGAGCAGCTCCCGGGAATGACTGCACTTCCCTTATGTGTTCACTCTGCCATCCTTTCCTCGCTGCTGATACCAGCAGAACCAGATGCTTGTTCCTGCCCCCAAATTGCTTTCGATCTAGGAGAGGAAGGCAGACACAGAGACACCTCCTACTGAAGTGTCACATGTGCTAGTGTGGAAGTGAGCGCAGGCGACCGTGGAGCCCCAAGGAGGGCTGTAGGGAAGGTTTTCTAAAGGAGATGCTGATGGTAGCTCCCTAAGCTCTCTGCTGTGGGCACCCCTGTAACCCTCCTTTTACACATGAGAGGTTAAGTTCATGCTGGAGCCAGTGGTGGGACTGGGAATGGAGTCTTGGTGTCTGACCCCAACAGCTGTCACTTATCAAGTACTTATTACGAGCATGACACTGTTCCCAGCACTTTACATATGTCATCCCATTTAATTTTCCTAGTTACTCTAGGGGTGGATATAATTATAACCCTCATGTGACCAATAAGCCGAGGAACAGAGGGCTTTAGTTAACATTCCCGAGATCGCCTAGACTGTGAGCAGCAGAGCCAGACTTGAACCAAGTTCGTGTTTTTTCCCCTCTGCCCTCTTGTCCTAACAGCTGCTGCGGGTGGGACTTAAAGATGCCTCTGAACAAACATGCCCCCCGGCCAGCACGAGAGCCCCTGTGGCAGCGTTGCTTTGATGCTGTCTTCAGAAAGTTCTTAGGAAACCCCAGTGTCTTAACCCGGAGGGTCAGGCCCTCACCAGGTCCAGAGCTCACAGTTGGTGATCAGTTTAGGAACTATCACAAGAGCAGGAGTGTGTGTGTAGTGGGGAGAGGGGGCAGGGGATTGAGAGGCTGGGCTCGTAACCTGTGGGGCCCAGTGCAAAATGGAAGTGTGGGGCCCTTTGTTCAAAAAATATTAAGAATTTCAAGATGGATACAGAAGAACATGAAACCAGGCATCAAGTGCAGTGCCCAGGGTGCTTGCAGACCCTAAAAGGCAGCCCTGGGGACAGGGAATCAGCCTGGGCCAGGATCTTGGGTCACCAGAAATCAGGGCATGGCTTTATCCTGAATTCCAGGAAGGGGGATTTTTTTCCCCCACTGCCCTATGGTGGATGAAGGCTGTGACTTTGGCTGTTACTGTGCCCTCTCAACCCTGACCCCATTAATCTACTCATGCTGCGTCCCTGTGTCTCTGATCTGTGGCTCCTGGGTTAGTTCAGGGGGCAGAGGGCAGGTGGGTGGGAGTAGGAACTAGGGCTCCTGCCTGAAAAGAGACAAGGACCATGGGCTACTGAAGGGAGGCCACCGTCCAAGGTTGTCCCCCACCTTGGCCCGAAGGGGAGCCTAGATTCTCTACGTTACAGGAAGTTTGTAAACTCTAGTAACATTTCCTCTGAGCCACTGGCGCCAGGCTGTCCTCAGTGAGGGCCCAGGATGTCTGTGCTGGGCTAGCCCGGCCGGGTCTGCTGATCTTAGCATCTGAGGCCCCCACCCTGTAGTCCCTGCAGCTGGCCCAGGAGGAAGTGGGCTCCCAGGGTTGGGTGGGACAGAGTGCTGGAGCACACCCCAGAATGCACGTGTTGTGTGCCTGGGGAGAGGTTCTGGGTCTCAGTTTCCTCACTTGTGAGATGGTGGAACTGGGGGAGGCAGCTCGGTGTCCCTTGACGTAGGACGTGGATAGGGTGACCATTCTAGGCGGGAGGAAGGCAGTGAACAAAGACCTGGGGAGGCTGGGCGTGCTGGCCAGGAAGCTGGTCCTGACTCAGGGGAGGTGGCCGGCATGCCCTTGCCCCAGCCCACTGGGCTCAGACCTGGCGCGTCATTTCCTTTTTTGCCTTCAAAGGAACTTTGAGTGTTGGTTCTTTCTTCCTCCCAAGTGAGAATTGACTCAAAAATGAAAAAGTAAAACGAGCATAAGTGAAATTGAGAAACAGGGAGAGAGAGTCTTCAGGCCTTTAGGCAGGACAGAGTGAGGACCTGTGCACTGAGCCGAATGGGTATTGAGTGCCCACTGTATGTGGGCTCCGTAATGGGCACTGGGGTCCAATAGTGAGCAAGGCCAGGGAGTGCTCACTATAGTGGGAACACCAGGAAAATAAGTGAATTGGGAAAAACCAGTTAGCAATACCAGTTAGCAATAACTGGTGGAGTACAACAGAGAGTGGGGGTGGCTGACTGAGACGCTGAGGTCAGGTAGGCCTCTCAGAGAGATGACACTTCAACCAGCATCTGAGTGTTAGTCTTAGGAACACCAGGGGAAAGAAGGGCATTCCAGGTGGGAGGACATGTAAAGGTCCTGAGGCCAAAAAAAAAAAAAAAAAAAAAAAGATCACTGTGCTTGAAGAACCAAAGCAGCCCCCCCTGGGGTCAGGTGGAAATGAGCAGCAAGGGGTGAGAGACAGGAAGAGGTGACCAGGTCAGTGTGGTAGGCTGAGTATCAGCTCCCCAAAGATGTCCATGTCTAAATCCCTGGTACCTGTGAATATGTTACTTTCTATGGCAAAACAACTTTTAGCAGATATGATAAAGTTAAGGCTCTTGAGATAGGGAGGATGGTCCTGGATCATGTGGACCAGGTTATGCATAATACACTTACAGTATCCTTAAAAGATGAAGGCAAGGGGGTCCGAGTCAGGAAAAAGGAGACGTGACATTGGAGACAGAAATTGGTGTGATGTGTAACCCCAGGCCAAGGAATGTGGGGCCTCTGGAAGCCAGAAAAGGCTGAGAAACAGATTCACCCCTAGCTCTCCAGAGGAACGCGGCTCTGATTTTTAGCCCACTGAAACCCATGTCAGACCTCAGCCTTCCAGAGCCATAAGATAAAAAGGAAATAAATTGTGTTTGAAGTCACCACATTTGGGGTAGTTTGTTGGCTCAGCCATTGGAAATGGGTACCGTCGGGTTGCAAGGAACCTTGTAGGGCAGCTTCGGGAGAGAGATTTCCCTAAGGTGGTGGGAGAGTGAAGTGTTCTCATTTGCAGAGGTCTCAGCTACAATGAGGAGAAAGGCTGGAAGAGGGGAGGCCCAGGGTGGTGGTCACTGTCACCCAGATCGGGATTAGGAGGGGAGGGCCTGGAGTGTGCTTCTGAGGTAGAGTGAGCAGGACCTGCTGGGGAGGGGACATGGGGTGAGAGATGAAAAGGAACCCAGGACGGCCCCCCCATCTGGCCGTCCAGAGCCTCTCTGGCATCCCCCATTGCAGCGCAAGCTTGGGCCTGGTCCCAGCACTGATGCCCAGGCCCTGCCACAGGCTCAAGTCACAACTCCCTCTCCTTCCTGGAGAACACCATTCTGTCTTGCCCCATCTTGTCTTCCCTGCTCCCCAAGACCAGCCACAAGACACGCATGGGTCTTTCCTCTTCGGGCTCAGGTGGCACGGGGTGATGGGCGTGGGCTCTGGTTTTACTGCACCTCAGCTGCACTGCTTTGTCACTACATTACCTTGCACGAGACATTTACCCCCCAGAGCCTTGGTTTCACCATCTGTACAATGGGAACACTAGCATCTACCTCTCAGGGTTGTTTTCAGGCCTGAATTCAAAAGTATTTGCAAAGAACAGTAGCTAACAATGAAACCGAACGTGGGTACGTCCTCTCTGACACTGACTCTGCATCACTGAGTCGTCCCTTTACCAGTGTTGCTCCTTAACACAGTGCTCTCTGCCCCGGTGTGTGTCCCCTGCTGCGGCCGAGTTTGTCCATGCCCACGCTCCTGTTAGGCAGCACCTCCCGGCTTCTGTCCCTTCCTGGGTTCTGGAAATGTGCCTCCTCCTCGTGCCTCCAGCCCTGCGGTGCTTCCAGCTTCCTGCTCTTGCCGGTTTCTGTTTGTCTCAACAGGTAATTTGTTCGCTTCATCTCGCTCACGGCTCTGTGGTATTTCCTTCATCAAGTCCCTGACTTTGACCCCCATCCCCACCCCGTCGGGTGGTAACTTCTGTTTCCCCCGGAACCCTGTCTGATACAGTGAACACGAGCATGGCTTTCTCTCTGCTGGAACCTGCGTGGATGGGCTAGTGGTCTCAGGGCCGACAGCTGCCATCATCCAAGTGAATAACCACGCTGGACTTAAAGCGAGGCCACCAGGCATAGGCTTTGGCCACATGGCTCACAGGGGACATTCAGCCTTTGGTGGGTTTTGGTTGGCTCCACACACAGTGTTCTCTGAACGTGCAGAAAATCCCCTTGGATGCTAGTCTCTGTCCAGTGGGGGCCCTGCTGCGACCCCTGGAGAGAAATCCCTTGACAACACAGGGGTGGCACTGGCTCCCCGAGTCACCCCACGTCACTGGTGTGTCGCTGGGTGGCAGGACTTTAGGGATGAGGATCATATAATCCCATGTCCGTTCACAAGCTTGCCCCGAGAGTGCCCTCTCAAGCCAGCCCCTTCTTGCCTGGGGCAGTGGAGTGGGGCTGACACCCCCGAGCACCTCCACAGTGGTGCATGGCATCTTATTTAAGTCGTGTAGACTGCAAGGTAGTCATCCCCCTGTGCAGATGAGGCTCAGACAGGTGGAGTGACTCATCCCGGCTCAGTGGGCGGCAAGAGATGGAGCTGGGATTTGAACTTAGGCTGCCTTTCACCCCAAATATTGCTTTCCGCACCATGCTACTCTCTCTTTGACTCTTTGGTGACGCTCACATGTAAAGATAATAAACAACCACCCTCCGTGTTTGGCTTTCACAGATGCTGTCTCGTTTGGTTTTCATATTACTCCAGGCTGGAGGAATTACTTGCCCCATTTCCCAGAGGAAGAAACTGAGGCACAGAGACAAACGACTCATGGGTGGTGGGTCTAGAACTCTCATGCAGATCTTTTTCTGAATCCTGGGCTCCTCCCACACCCAAACCCAGAGGAGCCCGAGGGACTTTTCCATCTGAAAAGTTACGTTTATTTGGGTCTTTTACTATTTGTGTTTGAAATTTGGCCTCCAAAATGGGGGCCAAG